ACAGATCCAGAATGGAGGCAACTTTAGACATCTATTTCCATCTCGAACCAGTGAATTTACTTCTTCGTGGGAGTCAATTAAATTTCTCATGGCCACGGTGGTATCACTTCGTAGTAAAATCGCACTACTTTTAAAATATAAGTATACAGGTTATTTTATAATGAGAAAGGAGAATGACAACGAACCTCAACAAAGAGGAGGACACCGGTGAGCAGGAAAGCGACCACCTGAGCCCAGCGATGACCCAATAAGGTCATGAAGGTGTAGGCTATGGGGAGACTAAAAAGACCTCCGCTTGCCGAGGTGAGCAGGGAGAGATAGCCGTCTTCTCGTAGGGGTTTGCAGCATTCGAAAGACTCTTTGGTTGGAAGCTGATCGGTCGGAAGGAAGCTCGTTGTGTTCGACGTGCCTATGTCCTGGAACAAACAGGAGGCAGCCACTAAGATTGCACTTGCAGTAATGAGACCGCGTCCATTTCGGCTTCTTACCAAGTCTATGTCGATACTTTAAGATGATTGGTCAATTAACGCTCTGATGAAGGTCACGTGAATTAATTAAAAGAAATTTGTTTCACTAGTTTTGAAATTATTTACAGCATCACATGACGAGTTCTACCACCCCACAAATGGAAAATTTCATAATTTTGTTATGCAGAACCGTCAACATTTTCGATCTTTTAACAACGGAAGTATCTATGGCAGTTTGTGAATAGATGATAACCAATTAAAACATCCTCTAAGTAGATGGCCACTGAGAAAAAGGATTGGTCTAATCGTGACTCACGAATTTCGTTCAGTTGGGGTCGATAGTTTCGTCGTCTGTCAAATTGTCTATGCCAGAAACCAGGTTAAACTTGTGGCAGTGGGGGACAATTTGAGAACCGTTTGCAAGCTGACCAACTTTTCGATTGGTAGAGAATTACATGACCTTGAACTGGCACATTTTGTGACGAGGCGACCGCCTCGAAGAATTGTCCATTTCACTGGATCTAAATCATTTATAGGTCAAGAGGATGTTGTGTCGTTTGAATGAATTCCAGACCCAATCTGCAGTTAAGAGCGCATTTTCAACTGCCAGAATTAGAGAATGTGCGCTTTCTTACTTGTAGGCAGGTTCGTGGGCTAGTGGCTAATTCCACAGGCAGGATGGTTGTTCCTCCGTAGATGAGGAATCCCCAGAGGAAGTTCAGGATTAACAGCAGCATAAGTAGCCAAGGTCGTCGTCGTAGCAACAGAGTGTAAATCTCCTTGATGCCGATTCTTGAAACCCGAAAGTCCTCAGTCTCATCAACCTCCTTAATTCGAGCGAAGTACGACATACCAGAGACGACTGACTCCGTGGTGGCCTGCTCTTGCGCATCACTGGTTATCTGGATGTGTTCTGGCACACGACGGTTGACCACGGCGATCTTATCGAGCACCTGCGCAGCTTCCAGGGTCCTCTTCTTGCTGTACAAGTAGACGGGAGATTCGAGGGTGAAGAAGGAGAGACAGATGGCGCAGAGTGCCAATGGTGCCGTGGTGAAGAAGACGAAGAATCGCCAATTCAGTCCACCACGTTGGCAGCCAAGACCGATGGCAGCTGTCAGAACGCCAATCAAGGCCTCAAAGTTGTTCGTGATCAACTGCGCTGGCGCCTGGTGCTTGGAGGGCATTGTCTCAGAGAGCAGGGAACTTCCAGATGTCAGGACGCCACCAATGAAATTGCCGGAAAGGAATCTGAGTGAGGCTATCCAGGCGTAGGTGGGGGAGATCGCGCACAGCCAGGAGAGGTACATCAAGGTCAGACAGGAAAGCAGACACACCGACTGGCGTCCGTAGACGTCTGCGGCGTAGCCCAGTGGAACGGCTCCAATGCAGCTGCCGAGGAAAACGAGCGTAGTCAGGAGGGCCACGTAGTCTGCTGTGAGGCGCCAATCACAGCGCAGACTGGGTCCGAGAATGGCCTGGATGATGGTCTCCATGGTGTCGGTGGAGTGGGCTACTCCGAGGATGACAATCATCCTCATCTGGTACCGGCCGAAGCCGAGTTCGTTGAGGATGGTCTCAACTATTGGAGGCTTCCGGTGAACCACGTCGTCCTCCGCGTCACCACTGATCAAGGTCCCCACAGGTGTCGTCAAATCTTCGGTGGATTCACTTTGCATCATCGCATCGTGCAGTGGTAGGCTAGAGAAATTACGAGACAAATTGTGCACAGGTGAGAGCTCAGTGCGTTGGTAGCTAAGCAGCCCATTCTCATGAAATCACTAAAGGGCGTCACCCTATTGGACACGTTGCGAACCAATCAACGACGACAACGTGCATAGTTCGTTTTTAATTGCGTGTATGACGCTGTTGATGTGGGCGTTAGGGCTAATTTTCATCTCTGTGCCACATTGAAATGCTTAAAAATAGAAAACGGTGGCTTGTTATTTTCGCATCATCAGAGATTTGTTGAGAAATGACGACAAGACTACGGCAGATTATATGACCTTGAGAAGCTCTTTACGAGATTCCAAAAACGGTTTTAATTGTATGAAGACCTACGTGGCAATCGCATGTTCGTGACACCGGGTGCGTGCAGTTGGTTAACACTGAGTGACAGCTAAAGTTAGCGGGCAACTTGTACAAAGAAGTTTGTTTGAATTAGTACTTGGCAAGGTTACTTTTCAAATTGGCTAACGAATCGGCGCAATTTCGTCTTGTTTAAAAAAGCCGTGAGCTTTGGAATTCCAACCGAACATATTTCGAATTAAATTGAAATATTGAAATTATTGTTTGCAAAATGGAGAATTTGGATGTGGAAAAGCCAATGTCGATGAATTCCTATCCATGCACACATCTTTTGCTCATCTATGTGTGTGCGCGGCTGAAAAACATTAGCATTTCAAATGAGTCTAGCATTGTAGGCAACAGCGCAAATGTGCTTTATCCGAAATATCAGAAAGTGGCGCGCTTTATGCCAAAATGTGGGTTTTCTGTAAAGAGAGTTTGAATGGTCAACATTCGACATGTTAGATTGCCTTTCAGGTAGCCCACAGCAACAAAATACTCCGCCTATTTATTAAGTGACAGTAATATTTTTTCCTAACAACGAAAGACCAATTTAAGGCCACATGCGATTCGATTTAATTTAGTTCTACCTGTTTCACAAGTTAGCTCCGTTTAATTCAGATGTTAATAGAAGGAAAGAAAGAACCCTATAATCCGGAATTCAGGGCTTCGTTCAATTTTCAAAAATTTATCACTAACGGCCTAGGATCTTGCGGAACCAATTCATAATCATAATTTCTCTTCTCTAAGTCCGTTAAAGCATGTTGATTTACAACTTGTAACTGACTAAAACATGACAGAATACCAAATTGTTTTTTGTAAACTAGAAAAAAGAACTCAATCAAAATAAATAATAGAATTTCTTTCGTTGTCACAGCAACTGATATTTAACTAAAGATGGCAAAACCAAAAAATCGCCCAATCTTACAGCGAACTTCAAGAAGATAAACCTTGTCAACTATTTCTGAGCAGAAAACTAGAACAAACTGTCACCATAGATTTATTTGTCCTTTATGGAAAAAGGTGACTCGTAAATTTGACTCCAATTGTTGAGGCCAAATATGCTGCACTATAAACTGCTGCGCACTGAAAATGTCAGATCCACTATAGTTAATATTCATTTACATTTTTAAATTGGATCTCTACTAATGAATGTAAGTCCGCCTTGCTCACTTTAAATTAAAAATTAGTTTGTCGAACTTCACGAATTTCAATGCATTTTAGAGGTACATTTTCCTCATTTTATTAAAGGAAAAATGAGCATCAAAATGAGGTCGACAACACCAAAATAATAGTGAGATCGACAATTTGTATTAAATCAAAGGCGAGAGCAAATTAACAATGAGTAAAAAGAAGGATGGACTAAAAGACCAAATTTAATGAATTGTTGAACGTGGAACGACGTATTAGGGCGCAGACATACTGGGCCATGCAAGACGGCCAATCCTCTGTCTGTTTTGCGTTCCAATGGCATGCGAGGAGGATATGCAGATAACCAGACAGACACGCATGAGAAGCGGTATAAAATGATCGGCGCAGCCAGCGTGGTGGATTCGAATGGACGGCGCCTGACGTGTAGTTCTGACTTGTGACTGGTCAATAAAGCCTGTTCTATTGTACTAGCCATCTTCATAATAGAGCTTAGGTACTCTTCAAGGGTTGAAAAAAATTCAAGAAGAACGAACTGAATAACACATGGATTACCACATTATTCGTGAGAAAAGTTAAAGCAAAGGCAACAGAAACAAAATTATTCTTTCAAAAAATTATCCTTGTCTTTTAATTTTAAAAAATGAATATTATTAACGAGAATAATAAAAATGCTTCGACTGCTTCCGGAATTTGACCCAGGTTGAAAAAATGCTTTTTGCATACCTGAATCTTTGTTTTTAAGTTACTTTAGTGCATTAACTACACAGAATCTCACTCAGTAAATTTGTAATCGGGATCATGTGCAAATAAAGGCCCACATTTTTGCCCTTATTCCAACATTTTCCACTATGTAAATGCTCATTTTCTGTCTATTGTGTAGGAACGTTCTAATAAATTTTTGTTCTTGGAAAAAATTGCAAGTTTTGAGGAAACCTATCTTCATTCTAACTCTCAAGACCCTAGCAGCAGACTGTTCGCCTCGATAGTTTGATTGGCTCTTAATACCGTCAGATTAGCCTCGCAGAATAACCTTTCGAGTCAATTTAAGGGCCAAATTATAATGACGAGCTTATTAGACTACGAGAAAAGCATTCTTTTAGATGTAAATGGAGGTAATTGTATGTTCGTCTGCTCCGAAGGCCTTGACTTGGATAACATAATCTATATACTTATTAAATTACATAATGATCCTCATAATTTGGTGTTAGTTTCTAATTATTCTAACGACGAAGCAAAATTCATATCAACCAAATTAATTTCTGAAAACGAAGCCTATACTCCATTTTTAATAACAGCAGAGATAAATGCGAAAGAGCGTCTTTCGGCGTATCGCCGAGGCGGAATTGTGTTTGTTAGTTCTCGAATATTGGTGGTGGACTTACTTCGGGGAACGATGCCAGTTGATCTCGTAACTGGAGTATTAGTTCTAAGGTTTCACAACCTTCATGAGGCTAGCCAGGAGTCCTTCATGCTGCGTCTTTTGCGTGAGAAGAACCCACAGATATTTATCAAAACATTCTCGGACAATGCAGTTGCGTTAATGTCTGGTTACAACCGAGTTGAACACCTAATGAACCAGTTCGGTGTTCCCCGATTGCTTCTCTGGCCGAGATTTAATCTGGAGGTGGTCAGCACCTTGTCAAATTGCCCTATGACCGTCGAAGAAGTGCAGGTAAGCAGTTACATTTTGCAATAATTGTAGGTTTTCCTCACAGAGGAAACGGTCACGTGCCAAAGGTGTCTTCTGGAGATGATTAAAGCTACCCTTCGTGAACTTGTTGAACAAAACCCTATCCTAAATAATGACGAATTTTCGCTAGAGTCAGCCCTAACAAATTCGTTTCATCAGCTGGTTCGTGGCTATCTGTTTTGCGAATAAAGATTTCTAGACCAGTTTGTACATTGACCCCGTCTGGCACCAACTGACTCAGACTAGCCATCGTCTCCTGGCAGATGTCGCCGGTCTCCGACGAATCCTTTTTCAGCTGATCGACAATGACGCAGTCGGATTTCTGGACGAGCTGGAAGAGCTTCGGCAGACTGAGTTATCTGCTCTGCGAACAGGAAAGCCAGTACATATTTCCGCCCTCCAAAGGCGAGGAACTTGCGCGAATTGGCTACTCATGAGTCAGGCGGAGGAGTTGCTCACGGTCTCCAGAAAACGTGTTTATAAAGATTATGGAAAAAGTATTCCCACTTTGCCAATCCTGACGTCTTCCTTTTGCTAGGAACGTACGCAGTTGAAGTGCCACCCAAACTAAATGCCATTTTGTCTGTTTTAAATGAAATCCTCTCCAAAGCAGAATCCGACTTTCCGGATCAGAATCGTCCTGTGCTTGTCTTGGTTAGGCATAAACGAACTGTCGAACTGATCAAGTATTACCTCAGTCATGGGAAATCGAAACTCCGAGACTGGCTTGTCCGAGGTAGAATGGCCTATGAGCACCCACCAGACCTGCCGGTGGAAGAGTCTCCCCCACCTAAAAAACCTGTCGCCAGCACATCCCACCGAAGCACACGGAGTCATACATCTCGTGTCTTTTCAAAACGAGTACGTTGTGGGTTTTTTTCGAAACTAACATTCTTTAGGTCGGTGGCAGGCAGGTTATTAGTTGTCGTGGCATTCCAGATCCCGCTGGAGAGGGCTTTATGCCCTCCACATGTGATGGTCATCCTGCATTATCCGGTACAGTCGAGAAACCTTCTTCCCCGAAGGTAGAAGCTTCTCCGAAAGCAGAAAGTCCAGACGACGAAGACGAAGCTGTTCCCGTGCCAGATTTACCTGCTGGCTGCTTCAGCTTCTTCTTCACCAATAAAGAGGGCAAACGCCTGCCGATTGTCCTTCGAGTTCCCCCGCCTGGTTCACGAGAAGAGGGGGCCCCTTCGGCCGTCGACAGCCACAACTTGGACGGTCCTGCTGGTCGTCTGGCCGTTTTGCTGTCTCGTCTCAGGCCGCAATACATCGTTCTCTTCGAGCCGCAAGTTGCCTGGGTCCGAGAAATCGAAGTCTTCTCCGCGAGAGAGTTCAAACGTCGCACCACCGAGGATCAGACGCCCTCTCCTGTTGGAATATACTTCATGATTTACAAGGACTCCGTCGAAGAACAGCGCTACCTCACGCGCCTTCGACGGGTAAGTAGTGCGTATGTCACCAAAGGGAGTTGTCAATCCCTTCCCGTCTAACTGGCCAATCACATTTCAGGAGAAAGAAGCTTTTGAGACGTTGATCTCATTGCGAAGCTCCGTCGTAGTTCAGAAGACAGAACCCCCTCCACCTGCAGATCCTTCAAGAGTTGAAAAGGAGTCAACCATCTTCGTGGATGTCCGCGAATTTCGCAGCGAGCTGCCAGCCTTGTTACACCGCAAGGGCGTTCGTGTAAGCTGTGCCTATTGGCCAAAACGTAACCAATCAGCGACTTTGCGTAGTATCTTATGAACTGGTCGGTCCAAAGCGCGTGTGGTCGATGTCTGCGACTTTCTGATTCCAGGTGAACCCGATAACTCTGACAATGGGTGACTACATCCTGGCGCCGCACATCTGCGTTGAACGGAAGTCAGTCAGCGATCTGATTGGGTCCCTGAACTCGGGTCGGTTGTACCAGCAGTGCACAGCAATGTCTCGTCACTACCTCAATCCCGTTCTGCTCATCGAATTCTCCATGCCCGCCAACGGTAATTGCGCCTTTGGCATTTATCACTGTCTGTTGATGTGCGGAATGCAGAACGCATCTATTGTCTGCATCCAGTTAATTGGACCCAATTTCGACAACTGTAATTGGGCGTTTCTTGTGATCAAGCAGTCGTTCCGACTACCTCTTCCTTGAATGCAGTCTCAGGATAGGTCGAGAAATGTGGAGGTGGATGTGCAATTGGGAAGCTGTGATTGTGTGGTGTGTTTTCGTACAGAGTCGCGATCGGTTGGTGAATATTGTGCGTGGTAGCTAATACGAATTCTGCACGACGCGAGGACATGCTCAATTTGCTTCCTGATCGACGCTAGTGGGAATGCAGTGTCGATTTAAGAAAAAAAATTGATTCGAGGTGCTGTGTCGAAGTAAACTAGGACAGATTTGACTCCAGTTGCGACCAGGTCATTTTTGTTTTCGGTGACAAAATGCTGCTTCTACTGTCATCAATTTCAGTAGTATGGAAGATGTGTTTCCGCTTGCGTAGGTTTGACCTACCAGAGAAGCCGCTTCTCCCCCACCCCGCAGGGCTCGTTCGCGCTCTTCACGGGCCGCAACGCGGTCGTCTCCGCGGACGCGCAGGTCGATCTGGGAGCGCGAAATCTCATGTCGAAATTGGTCCTCCTGATCATCCACTTCCCGAATCTCCGCGTCCTCTGGAGCGTCACTCCCTACTGCACCGCGGAGCTATTCACCGAGCTCAAATTGGGGCGTTCGGAGCCCACTCTTGACCAGCTCCCTCATGTGCGTCTGTGGCGCCACACGTCATTTGGGCACAACCTTTTTTTCAAATTTACTTGCCTACTCATTTTAAATAAGTAGAGTTATTCAACCGGAATGTCCACTAACATGTACAACACTTTCCTGCCTTCACGTAGGAGGGTGAAAATCTTGGTGATGACAACGTGGAGGCAGTTGATATGCTGCTTAAGATGCCTGGCATATCCTGGCGGAATTATCGACGCGTGATCGCCAAGGTTGGTTCCATCGCGGAACTAGTCGACCTCGATTTGGATAGCCTTGTTGAAATCCTCGATAATCGGTCAGTATTTTTCAGAATTTGTTTTACCCCAATTTTCTTGGCTACTTAATTATTGTAAGGCGATGTGTTTTTTTCTGGTTGTAGCGAGTGCGCGAAGAAGCTGTATGACTTTTTGCACTGCTTGTGGGTTCCGCCGTCGTCAAGCGAAACGGCGTCGCTGGTTGCTGAGGCGAGGCCAGACACAAAGCGTCCGCGGTTGGCCCTAGCAACGCGTGTCAAATCCCGCGGCAACCGCGGTCGAGGTCGCGGTGGTTCAACTTAACGCCACCCTAACCCTCTATTCAATTATGTACATTATTCGAGCAATTAAACCATTTTTATTTTTGTATGTGGTAATTGGGCAAATTGTCCGGTAGCGAAGCAGTTTCGGTCACTTTGTGTTAAATATGTGACAGTTGATATGCACTACTGATAAGTCGAAAAGTAGCAGTTTGAACGTCGCGGTTTGAAATTGGGAACAAACTTTAAAAAAAAAAGCTTTCCACTTTGCACGTTGATATAGTGATCTGTGAATGTCAGCAAAGCCGAATGGGTGGGAGGCTGTCCGAACTGATCCCCCACGTGCTGATTGGTGCCTGCAACTCACTTCTGATTGGTCTCTTCACAAGTACTCCAAAAACTCACCCACGTACACACACACACACGGACAAACGGTTGTGTCCTCCGTCTCATAATCTTCTCGGTTTTCTGATTCCGTAGGTGTCAACAACCAATGAAACTGTCACAATAAGCACAACGTCATTGCCATTTAAATATTGTACAGGCATCGAATTCAGTGGCAACATGATGGCTCAATCTGAGGGCTGTTTTCAACTAATTTGCCTCAAACTACAAAGTGTGATTGGCTATTCCCCCATTCTATCCTGGTCCACTTTGATTGGTTGATGCAACAGATTGGCAGGAAGAAGTGCTCCAATTTGGTCATCATCAGCACAGTGGGGCAAGCAATTTTTGCCCTTAGAATGGTATTTAGTCTGTTCTGTCAAACAATCATTACCGCCTCAGCCGTCCCGCAAGCTAACACCTCTCGTGTGCGTTGTGTTGGGATGGTTGCCATGGCACTGGTGCGTGTGTCAACGCCCAAGTCAGCTGTGCCTGTGTTGGCAGCAGAGTTCCATCATTATCATTATCTTGCCCATGACTGTTAACCGGTGTTCCTGCGTTGAGTGCATCTGAGTGCATGACGCGAGGAATGAGATGTGCTAACTGGAGTGAGTACTTCAGTGAATAGCACAGTTGCACAAGTCTCTTGATTCTGATCGTTAATCTAGTTTGAGGCGAAAACTAGTTTGTATAAGTTCAAACGCCTACAATGCTTCCTCGTGGCGCGTTCTATTAATGCATCCCGCGACCAGATGGAATGACCTTCACGCCTTGTTTTGTCGCGGTGGTGCTGATGAGTTCGCTGCGTTGTTTAAATTGGCGTGAAGGCTAACTACAATCACCTTAGAACAAAAACGCATCCTCAGTGGTTCTGTGAGCAGTATGTCTCTTGGTAACTGCTTACCATTTACCGTGACCTCAAAATTCACATCCTGGCAGAGCTATGAAATTGAGCGAGTTTTAATGCACACAAGAAACAAATTTGCGATTATTACTCAATTTAGGATTCGCTTGAAAAACATGCTTCGTGCGATTAGACCAACACTCTTCACTTCGTCTTGTCTGAAATATGAAATTACGGCACTTTATCTCTTTATTTAATATAGCAATTTCGGTTTTCTCATTTCCACCGAAGCAGTCGATAAAATAAACAATCGATTTTCACACAAAACTAATTTCCTTCGAGATGATTGTCTCTAATTGGCTGGCGAAACAACGGTAACAGGCTAAATTTTTTTAGAAATTGTGTTTGAGTCCATTGGTTGTGTACTTTAAGAATCGAAAAAAACCTTTGAAGTCTATTTACCGAGGGAATCCTTAACGAATCCAATTCAAGTAACCCCCTCCCCCAAACGCGAACAGCATTTACTACTTGAGCTACGCTGCTTTCTTACCTTTAAACCACTTAGCGTGATTGTTACAATCCGAGGCAATATTTAGTTGAGCAAATTACCGTTCAGACATGTCATACACTACTTAAAATATGATGTGAGCAGGGTTCTTGAAATACTCGAGGTTGACAAGTGTTACGGTAATTCAGAACATTAAAAGCTGAGGTATGCATTCTAACTATTAATTTTTTATCAAAATGGCCCCTGCACCAATTTTGGTGTAAAGCGCAGGGTAAATGGTTATTGTAAAAGCCTTACCATCAACCACAGAATCACAATTTTTGCAGAAAGTTCGCGTATTTTGGCGCGATGTGCTTTTAAGGTAAGTCTTACGAGGTCAAATCAATTCCCGTGTGGTGAACTGACGAAATTTGCAAGTGGCTCAATTTTCGTGATCAAATAGACTGCCGATAGTCGACAAGTAGCTTTCATGAATATTGAACCAAGTGGAAAACTTTGTCTGTCATGGAAACGACAATATACAATAAAGTGGTGGCAGTAGTCATAGACGGTTGTGGAAAGACGTTGGAAGGATACTCGTATTGCTGGCGCCGCTGTTGATGGTGATAATGACGACTGCGGTCCCTAAGTGCGTGCCGAGTGTTCGACGGCGTCGTCGTATTCGTCGTTCTGGAAGCCTTCGTTTGCGGCGAACTCGTTTTGCATTCGCATCAACTCCTCGAAGTCCTGCTTTTCGCGTCGTTTGCGTTTAATGGTCTTGTAGGTAAAGAGCATGAAGAAGGCCACACAACACGTCACCCCACAGAAGAAGATGACGATGCCGACGGTGCGCTTGGCCTGGTTGCCCGCGTCCTCCCCAGAACCCCACAGACACCCCCCGATGAGGAAGGAGAGGATCGACGCGGAGAAGAGGAGGAACAGTGCTGGCTCACCCTCAAATAGGAGCATTTGCTATGAGTGGGAGAGGCAGAATGGATTGCAACAGAATGGAGTTATGATAAGGCACACACGTGCGCACGCGTGAAGCCCGCACGTACGCACGGCTCCTATCGATTGCTACTGGCGTATCACGCCCCCAAGCTCCGCGCGCATTGGCTACCAATGGTGACACGTGCGCTTTGTGTTGAAGAAATTACCTTTGAGTTAACGTGCTCAAAAGAGTGGAGCATTGACACACATCCCAGTCACCATGGCTTGCAATGATACCATTTCTCTTGACGAGACATCACGTGTTGTTGGTGTAAGGGCCACACATGCCCTCACTTGGTGCGGTGCCGTGGAGTTTGACCCTCGCGGTCAGATTTATGATCGTATCGACACTTTTTAAGCATTCGTCAAGCGTGATTTACTGGCGTGTTGCATCAGACTTGAGCCGTTTGAAATGTGGATTAGCGTTCACAATGAGATCAGTTTTGATTAGATATCATAGGGTTTATTAAAAGCTGTGCTATAGCCGTAATTCGTGATTTTGATTTTCCGTGAAAGCACATAAACACAGAAAGCCCAGTGGTTGTATCTGTGTGCGGACGCTGGCGAAGGTTCATCGAGTGTGACCTTAAAAAGTACGATAACGACTTTTCACAGTAATTTTCCCAAATGCAGCTGTAAATTAAATGTCCTGCATTAGTTCGAGATACAGCTGATTTCATAATTAACTAGGGCGATGCTCCCGCATCGCCGTGCCGACCTTGGGTGTTAGTTCACCGTTAGTGCATTCAAACAAAAACCTGGTAACTCGAATTGACAAGTTCTAAGATTCTCATTGGGTTTGTCAATCAATTATTAATTTCAGCTTTGAAATCTTAAGATTATGTGGTTAGTTCGCTTGCAATTAACGTTGTAGAGTGTTGCAATCTCTCTTGTTACAACGGAGGTTTCAATTACAACGACGAGTCAAAATGCGGATTCTGAATTTGATCACGGAGTGGAGTAAAACAAAGATGTAGGCAGCTGTTTTGATAAACCTTAATTCACAGTGACTTTCACTTCGTCGAATTCACAAAATTGATTACAATTATTGATTTTTTGTAGAATTTAGATACTTGGGCGCAAGTATTTACATCACGAGTCTCCCAATCGATAATACGCACCTATTTTGACGTTGCCCTGAGACACGTAAATCGATAAGAAGCGTATTTATTTTTTGACAAGTCGAATTCTCAAAGTGACGGGAGTTTACGCCACAGCGGCGCAGTGCGTTGAATACTTGTAGGGTGAAACAAGAAGGCATCAAACATATTTTCGATCACGTGTAGATCGTAGCTTCGTATTTTATGCACAACTTGTATTGTCAGTTATGACGTAAACGGTTGCATTAGGGGTTCTGTCTACCATTTTTAAAATGCGAAAACACGTGGCAAAACAGCTTATTACTATCGATTTATAATCTATGCGTTTTATTTAGAATGAATAGGCAAATTCAATTTCCGTAAAAAGTTGGAAGTCAGAGAAATATACATTTGGAGTGGTCTTCCGGGCTCGCACAATAGTTCTTGCTATTGGCGTATAAATGCATTACTGAAAACGTTTAAGTAGCAAATTTTAATAGCACTAAAACACTGAAGTTAGGCCACATGACGGATCAAAGGTACAATCGCAAAGTGCGGTGAAAAGTACATGCAGCGACGCACGTATCTAGTGAAAGTGCATCATTTCAAGTTTAATTTGCTTAGCAATGCTTCAGTTTGACTAGACTCATAAGTTTTTCGAAATTTTCTGTGCCCAAAACGACATCATCTTGAAACACCTGACGTGATTCGATGGGCTCTAGGTCGACAATTTCACCCACTAAACACAGCCAAAAGTTAGACAAATTTAATCTGAAATATGGCTGGAAGAGGCCAGATTTTGTCAACAAAGAGAGCACTGTGGGGTGTCATGACAACGTGGTTTCAGCAGAAAGTAGACAAAATTCGAACAAGCTCGATGGAGTCTTCCAACAAGTCATCAGAAGACTTTGAAGGCTTAAACTCTCTCCAATACCCGTCGTCAATCGATAACCTGCTTCAGATTAATGACGCATCGATCGGCCACCGATCAAAATGACTGTCATTGCAAGTTTGCGTGGAACATCCATGCACTACAAGTTCACGAGGCAACAGCTGATTCAGTGACAAGTTGGTTGTCAGAACTTAAGCATTGCACCTCCACTAATGTCGATTAGAAAGCAAATTTAGCATGTCCTCACGTCATGCAGAATTCGTATTAGCTACCACGCACAATATTCACCAACCGATCGCGAATCTGTACGAAAACACACCACATAATCACAGCTTCCCAGTTGCAAATCCACCTCCACATTTCTCGACCTATCCTGAGACTGCATTCAAGGAAGAGGTAGTCGGAACGAATGCTTGATCCCAAGAAACGACCAATTACGGCTGTCGAAATTGGGTCCAATTAACTGGATGCAGACAATAGATGCGTTCTGCATTCCGCACATCAACAGACAGTGGTAAATGCCAAAGGCGCGATTACCGTTGGCGGGCATGGAGAATTCGATGAGCAAAACGGGATTGAGGCAGTGACGCTAGCACTGCGACACTGCTCTCTACAAGAACCAAACCACTTCGGGCACCTGACCGCCAGTAATATAAACATCTGCTGCATTCAAACCTTCGCAACTGTTTCTGCGCTATTTTGGTTTAGCGTACGGAGGCTGTCTTCAAAAAAAAACGGATAGGCAGCTGGAGGTAACTTGCTGCGCGTTTAATTACCACCTCGCTGCTACAACCAGCGTCAAGACCCAAGACCAAACTGACTCCAGACAGCACTGTCTGACGATCTGAGTTCTCGTCCTGACGTTATAACCTAACGGTCAATACCACCCCGTCCCTACCAAAACTGTCGCCGAAATCCCTGTCCGGAGCAAGTAATCCATGAAACGGTATTCCAACATTTCACAAAAACCCTCACCGCCGTGGCGAAGGCAATTACACAACCACCATGCGTGAAAACGAGCCTGACAATCGTTCGCATCACGTGAACTCGGCACGCCAGGGTTTAAATCAGGGGTGCTACACAGACCAACGCAGCAAAGTTCTCACGCGGGGGGCGGTGGGGGAGGTCGCGTCAGCTCTTCAGTGACACCCCGAGCCACCGGCAGCCAATGAAAACACCGCGTCTCTGATTAGCACGAAATTGCCACCATCAAATCGGACACGAAAGCGATGTTCTAATTGCAATTTACACATATGCTTGAGGGTGTGTGTGTGTGTGATATTGACGACAGACCGAACCCGCAGGATTCCGTTGCAGCGGGCAGGCTGACGCAGCGACCTGTCGTCTAATCGATGAAGAAGATAGTTACAAAACCGAAGAGCGTTTGTGTATGTGCACGGGGGTGGGGTGGGGCGGGGGAGCTAGCTGCTTTGTCCGAGGAGGGGGGAGGGGAAGTAAAACGCGAAACACAGGGGGAACACACACGAGAAAAAGTGTTTGATCCAGGTCAAAGAAGACAAGAAGAACAAAGGCGATTATGTACACGGTGAAGGTTGGCGGCGGTGGTGGTGAAGAGACGGCAGTGACGGATTGAATAGCAGTGGGGGGACGATGCGGAGGCGGAGGTGGTGGAGTCGCTCACGAGCCAACTGTCTCCTGGAAGTGGAAAACAGACAAACACTTCAGAACCAGCTAATCGACGCGGTGTTTAGGAGTGAGTGCGGAAGTTAGCCGAGAGCCGTAAGAGGGGCGTGGAAGCATGTCTTACCGTGGAGTCTTGACGAGTCTCGGGTTTATCGTTCTCCTTTAAAAAATAATTAAGAGGTACAACGCCGGTAAACGGCCCGCTCGCGGCTATAACTCGATCTGTCGCGTGGTGACTACTTACGTGTAAAACGGCCTGCGGAACACTGTCGGAGGGGATGACGTCGGTTTTGGGGGAGGTCAAGGCGGGCGCGGGTTGCGACGCAGCTTGAAGGCGGTGAGCGGAGCTGGAGAGTGGCGTCGACGGCGTGGTGATGGAGGCGCCGAGGACAATCGCGCGACCGCCCAACTGCCAGGTGCCTCGGCTCTGGTGAGCCGGTTGGTTGAAGGTCGTGGTGGCGGGGGCCGCGGTCACCATGGGAACAGCGGCGGCGGTGGAAGGAGTGCGCGGCAGCGAAGACCCCCCTCCAGACTCCAGGAGGCTCTTGAGGAGCTGCGACGACGCGGGCTTCGAGACGGTGGTGGAAGCGGGTCGGTTGCCCGTGGCTGCTGTCGCCGCAGCCGTTGATTGGTGCTTGGGGGAGATCTTGCGGAAGGAGTGATACTTGTGCACAATGGGTCGTCTGGGCGTGGCGGTGGAGGCGGCTGACGTGACGACGGTTGTCGTCGACACTACTGAACGACCTGTGAGCAGACTGTTGGTGGAGGAATCGAACGGTCTTGGCGGTGTGGCAGCTGCAGCAGTCGTTGTCAGTGTGGGAATCACGGGGCGTTTGACTAAAACAGCAAAGCAGTATACAGTAAGTCAGTGCATCCAAAGGCAGCCAATCAAACAGCCCGGATGTCCCGGGCACCCAGATTCTTATTAGCTGTCCATTTTTCGCTCGGCATGAGCCAATAAAGCTGCACTTTTAACGTGCTTTGGCCGGTGTGCGTGTGGAAACATTGCAGCGATTGATCACACGACTAACGACAACTTAGCACATCAACGCCGTTAGTAAATAAAAGTACATCGGGCACAGGTAACCTGGCGACCTCGAACTCGCACGATTCACCGCGTGAGCTCTACTAATCAGCTTAGAAAGACGTCGTTAGAAGCTGCGAGTCTTGTGGTAACGAATTGTGTCAGAAAAAAGAAAGGAGTGAATAGGCAGATTAGTAATCGATGATAGCCATTAAAAATCTGCTCCCCTGTTGGTTTGAAACATCTGCAGTGGAGCGTGACGGTTCACGTCCATAAGATGTGGTTCTGGCGCACGTACCAGGGCCTCAACACATCGTCTAGGAACCAACCATCTTTGGAGTTACAAACGAAGAAATTGAAGGGGGTTTCAACTGACCTGGGGGTTGAGGGAAGCCGGTGGTGGCGACATACTGAAGCATGCCGGGGGGCGGGTGGTTGAATCGACGCTGCTGTTGAAGGAACGCCGGAGGGGGGCCAGACTTGACGGGGTGAGCGACGGCCTTGTGCCCCGCGAGGAGGTGGGCCCCCTGGAGCAGACGGTAGTGCTCGGCGAGCTGTTGGCCAGGCGCATTCCTGACTGGACGCTGAAGGTGCAGCAGGGAGTTGAGTTCGAAGTCCGTGCCGTCGTCATCCCCTCCTCCTGACGCAGACCCACCCACTGCTGGCGGCACTACCACCTCCACTGAGTGCGGAAGCTGTTGAGCTTGGCAAACCGCTCCTGCGGACGGATCTGCGGCTGGGAACTTCGTCTAGAGAACACAACAAACCGTCAAACCAATTTCAACTACCTTCCCAGGGTGGTTGGTTAAAATTTAACACGGCAAATACTGGGTAAAACGACTTAGTTGGGCTAAGTTCAAACTGTCCAACGGGGAGAGAAATCCGCGATTCGATTGGCGGGCTGAAAAGTGCGGACTTTAACGAGAACCGAACGAGTAACAGGAAACAAAACAAACAGACACACACACAGAGAGAGGGGGGGGGCGAGAGGGTGATGGAACAGCAAATGGAACACCGAACGGACCTTTCCAAGAGGCTGCGAAGTATTTGGTGGCATTTGTTGTCGCCTTGTGTGCTGGGGACGGCGGAGTTTGAGTTAGCACTGGTTTTCCGGTCGACAACAAATACCATCTAGTGCACATTAATATATACACACGTGGGCATTACATTATCGAGCAAGTATATCAACGAAAAAGCAATGATACACTGATGTTTATTTACATGCGGTTCATTTAAACGAAGCCATGTTGACTAGAGGAATACAGTTGGGGAAAAAACTAGGAAGGGAGCGAATGAGAATCGAAACGGAGTGGGATAGAGGGACGCTGTGCCTTGGCAATACTTCGATTGCCGATAAAGTGAGTTTGCGGTAGGAATAACTGTGCGCGCTCGCGCGCACGCACACACACATACAGAGCAGTGCTTGAACTCATAATAAACACCGAAGGAGTGTCAGAATGCAAGTCGAAGAGCCGAACTGCCACGTGCACCCCGAAATCCAAGCAGCTCTGAAGTTCGGAGGTAATGTGGGCTGTGACCACCCGTCACACAGCAATTAAGCGATCACGCACACAGCGAGAGATAATAGCAACCCGGAAACATGCTACGCGATGGACAACGTGATTTATTTCAAATGCGACTAGCTTTACTACCAGTGTTTGCATTTTTCTGATCAAACAGATGTCAGATCAAGCGAATACGGTCGGGAAAACAACGCCAGTTGTTTAGGTGGCACTAAAATAACGATTTAAAAGCGCACGACCCCGATAACTTAGTTGTAAATGGATGTGATACTGAGCTATTAGCAGTAGCTGGTATTGCAAGGAACAACTCACGTGACTGGGAGCGGGCAACTTCGGTGCTTGAGACGGCTGGTGCAAGGGCTCGGCAGAAGTTGGCGTCGCGGTGGAAAGCTGCGGCTGGTCATCATGAAGACGCTTCAGGCGCAGAAGCTGGCTGGCACTCATCGAGTTGGCCGGGTTATTCTGGTTGTCCTCCGATGCCGTTGGAA